GTATGTCTCCAATACTGGCTGTATCCCTGAACACACAGAAATCTACCTAGCTCTTCTAACCACCACGCTCTTGCTATGGCTCTAATAGCTCTGACCCCAGGGCAACTTTATTTATTAACATAAAATTAAAATCACATTTCAGTACAAATAAAATATCACCACAGCAATGGAGCACTTACTCTCGGAGCTGCTCAAAGTTTCTCAGGATCAAGCCAGCTGCAGCATCCCAGGCTATGAAATGCAAAACCTATACCCGAATGGAAGCAAGGGCTTTGCATGAATTAAAAAAGCAGAGCACAAAGTTCAAGCTGTTTCCACAGAGCAAACTGGCAAACTGTGATTCCAAACTGAGTTTCTTCTACAATAATGACAGCCGAGAAAGAGGAAAATGGGTGAGTCCACTGGAGACCTGCCACCATCTCCTGATGCAGTACAGAGGTGGAAGCCAAGGCCTTGGGAGTGCTAGGCAAGTGCTTTCCCACTGCGCTCCATGCCCAGCCCCAGCTTTCTATTAATGAACAAAACACAGTGTCACTACACCACAGAACACACTCCTTGAGGAACAGGATAAGACAGCCATAGGCAGTTAGCTTTGTGAACACTGGCACAGGATGGTCAGGTGACGGCTGTCTTGAAAATGCCAATGACACTGTGGAAAATCCCCACCCTCAGTCCCGACCCCAGGCTTGCAAGCCTTGTCCATAAACACTCCATTGCTTCTCCTAGAATGGACTGCTCCTTTCTCTCCCTCAGAGTTCAGCAAGAGCTCCAGCAGAACACTCTTGAGAACTCTCCACTCCACTCTTGTGCTCTCTCCTGTCAGGTCACAGAAGCTCCTCCATCTACCATCAGCTCAGCTATGGAAACAAAAGGCTGCTCCCAAGTCCATCTGCCCATAAAATGCCAAAAAGAAAACCAACCAAAGAAAACATAGATGCCCACAGAGGCTTATGCATTGGTTCTGAGTCACCTGGCTTCTTCTCAGCCCACTGCCTGACCTGCACTTGTCCTTTTATAACTGTACTGTTAAATGACTCACTTGTACGCACATCAAACTTTCTAATATTATTTTCCATTTTTAATTCTTCTCTGCATTTGCCCATCCCTTCATATAAGCACTTCCAGTCAACAATAAACGACATAGCTAACAATAAATATATGCAAAACTATGCATAACAACATACATAGCATAAATATGCTTAGCAATGGAAATACCCTATGTGTTCACAAAACATTATTATAAGACAAAATTAAATTGATTGTATGGCACTACAAGTGCCACTCACTTCTTGACTGCTATGTCAGAACCAGCAAACCTCTGCTCTAATGCATCACTTCACTCATTTCTTTAACATGCAATTATTAATTAATAAATTTTCTTTTGCAGTGCTGGGATGAATCTCATGCTGTGTGCTCAACCATTGAGTAGCACACTCAGCCAATGCATGTATATCAGTCCCCTTTATATACTGTTTAACTTCCATAATTTCAGTTATTCAAACAATCTAAAAATATTAAATAGAAAAGTCCAGAAATAAGACATAAGTTTTCAACTGTATGCTATTTTGAGAAATGAGAATACACTATCCCCCTTCCCACTTGGTCCCTGGAACTGGAGTTACAGGTGGTGTTAGCTGCCATATGGGTGCTGGAAACTGAACCTAGGTCCTCTGTAAGAGCAGAAGAAACACTCTTAACCACTGAGCCAGCTCTCCAAATAGGTCTTTATGAAAGTTATGTGACCTTTCACCCTCACAAACAATGTAGACCTGGCTGGTCTTTAACTTACCTCAGAGATCTGACTGCCTCCGCCACCCCAGTGCTGGAATTAAAATTCAATACCATGCTGGGCTGAGAGATGTACTCATATTGCAAAGAACAAGAAAGTTCTTAAAACACTAGCAATTTTTCTTTTAGAGAGGAAAGAAAAAAAGCATTAATAAATTTTGATCTAAGGGCTGGAGAGATGGCTCAGAGGTTAAGAGCACTGCTCTTCCAGAGGTCCTGAGTTCAATTCCCAGCAACCACATGGTGGCTCACAACCATCTGTAATGAGATCTGGTGCCCTCTTCTGGTCATACATGCTGTATACAAAATAAATAAAATCTTTAAAAAAAATTTTTTTTTATCTAAAATAGTTTTGTTTTGTTTTTTATCCCTTGGTTTCTCAAGATAGGGTTTCTCTATGTAGCCTTGGCTGTCCTGTAACTTGCTCTGAAGACTAGGGTGTCCTCAAACCCACACATATCTCACTATACAGATGTTTTCATCTTTAACTGGCTGTAAAATATATAGAAAAACCGTTTTAAAATAAGTAACATTTTTAGCTTATTTATTTTATTTTATAAGCGTTTTGCCTACATGCAGTCTATATGTACCATGTGCATGCCTGGTACCTGCAATGTCTGTCTCAGAACAGACAGATCCCCAGATACTGGAGTTAGAGATGGTTGTGAGCACCTCTAAGTGCTTGGAATAGAATCCCAGTACTCTGTAAGAGAAACTAGTGTTCTTAACCACTGGAACATCTCTCCTAAAATAAATGTCTTTGTGATTTATTACCAG